ATGTGGGATAGAAGGCAGCGTAATAAAGTGATCTGGAAGGAACGGAGCGAATGACGAATGAGTAAAAGAATGATAGTGAGTGAGTGAGAATTATAAAAAAGTAAGATGGAGGAAAGGACGCTTAAAAAGAGGAGCACCCAAAATTAATTAAATTCAATAAAGACTGTTTTCAAGGTATTTCTGTTTTTACTGCACGGTAAATACTACATACATGTTAAAGCGTAGCCGTACCACATACCTAATATAGTAAAATAGTCTTTTATAAATGATATTTATGATAAGAAAACAATTTTACCCATTGAAATAATACTAGTTTTTATGGAATTTATGGCGTATATTTAACTTTTTAAATACCCGACGTTTCGAACGCTTTACAGCACTCATGGCTCATGGTCACGGGCGGGACCAGGGCCAGTCAACTTCTTAATAAAAGATTGGTACCGGGAGATGACCTTGGGGGGTTTTAAGGAAGCGAGATGGATTAATATCTATCTCCCTCGCACTTTATGTTATCTTGCCATTGTGACGGCCCAATATTATTATTAATAATTAAATTCAATATAAAGGGGCGTCAAAAATAGTCTTAAAAGATATATATTAAGCAATTAAGTTAAATTAATAAACATAAAGTTAATATATTTCAGACATTATCCCAATAACATAGTAAATTAAAGGCAAAATTATTGTTTTTCGTAATAAATAAATTTATTTAAAAACTTGAAAAAATATTTAAAATAAGATAAATAATAGAAAAACAAGTCAAAAAATATTATAAAATTAAGTTAAATAACGTTTATAAGATAATTAGAAAATTTGTTAAAAATTCTTATTCTTATAGATAATTAGAAAATTTAAAAAAGTCATTGTATAAAAGAAAATTTTTAAGTTGTGGAAGGAGTTCACGTATAGATGAAATTTCCTAAGTTGTTGAAGGAGTTCATGTATTAAAGAAAATTTTCCTAAGTTATGGAAGGTGTTCACGTATAGACGTCTTGTATGGAGGAAGCTGTCGGAGGTACATATCTGCAGTTGTACATATATATGGGGTGGTCGGGAGCCCGACTGCCTGAAGTACTGTAGCACAATGACTAGTCCTATATTAGGGACTTATGATATTAAACTCAATGATACAAAAGCAATACTAAAGAAGGTCTCCATGATGAATTTGCATTACAATAGTAGGGTCGTGGGTTCGAACCCTATATATTAATGACTTATGAAAGTAAGGTCTATGATTCAAAAGCAATACTATAGAAGGTCTCTATGATTAATATGCATTACAATAGTAGGGTCGTGGGTTCGAATCCTATATATGAATGACTTATGAAAGTAAGGTCTATGATTCAAAAGCAATACTATAGAAGGTCTCTATGATTAATATGCATTACAATAGTAGGGTCGTGGGTTCGAATCCTATATATACATGACTTATGAAAGTAAGGTCTATGATACAAAAGCAATATTATAGGAGGTCTCCTTGATGCATAAGCATTGTATGGGGTGGTCGGGTGACCAACTGCTCCTAGTACTGTAGCAAAATGACTAGTTCTTATTAGGGACTTGAAAAGGAATATTATGGTGGCGTATGTGCTGCTTCACGAGCAATTGGTCCGAGGTAAACTTGGACTCGCTAACCGATGTGTCCTAGACATATCATCTTAGTGCCGGTGGTAAGCGGGTTTGTTGTAACAATACGGCTTTCCCGTAGACATCGCACACCCATACCGTTTGTGGGCGACGTCGTTACGCATAGCGATGTGTCGTCTATCTTTCGGATTGGGATGATGAGTGTGTTTGGTAGCACTTTTAAGTGTAACAGGCATACTCAACTTCATGTCTTAGTGCATTAGCGCTATGATACGTGGAGTTTTGTTCATTGGCGTCTTAGTAGCGTGCTACTATGATACGTTGGTGATATTTTTTATATAACAACAATACCAACTTCGTTGCCAAAGTCGATAGGGATCACGTGGGTGTGTTGTGAGGGGGGCGCCACCCGTATGATAGTTGCATTGATGCTCACTGCTACTTGCGGTATTGCGTCTTGTGATGGATCTGCGGGTATGCTGCGCCTGATTCGACGCATTCCTGTGGTTCTGGTCGATGGAGGTATACAATTAACATCTTAGTGCCGATGGTAAGCGGGTTTGTTTTAGCAATACGGCTTTCCCGTGGACATCGCACACCCATACCGTTTGTGGGCGACGTCGTTGCGCATAGCGATGTGTCATCTATCTTTCGGATTGGGATGATGAGTGTGTTTGGTAGCACTTTTAAGTGTAACAGGCATACTCAACTTCATGTCTTAGTGCATTAGCGCTATGATACGTGGAGTTTTGTTCATTGGCGTCTTAGTAGCGTGCTACTATGATACGTTGGTGAAATTTTTTATATAACAACAATACCAACTTCGTTACCAAAGTCGATAGGGATCATGTTGGGTGTGTTGTGAGGGGGCGCCATCCGTATGATAGTTGCATTGATGCTTACTGCTACTTGCGGTATTGCTTCTTGTGATGGATCTGCGGGTGTGCTGCGCCTGATTCGACGCTCTCTTGTGGTTCTGGTCGATGGAGGTATACGGGTAGTGATGTCTGCTGGGATGTATGGGGGACCTTGGAATGGTGTAAGCTCGACGATAGTCGTATTGATGCTTGTTGCGTTCTGCAGCATTGCGTCTCTGCGATGGTTGTTTGGTGGGACGCTATTCTCAATGTCGCTCTCTGCGTCTTGGTTTGACTCACACCTAAGTTGCTTTGCCCATGTCGGGTCCCTTCATTGCGGGGCTGCAGACTGTCTGCCCTCCACGATGGTTTATATAACAACGTAATATTATATCTCTGTAACTTTCCCACCTTTGAATGATTGAAGGCAACTTGTTGGTGGGTGAGACAAACATGATCGAAAATGCATTTACTCAACGTCAGTGACACAAACCCTTTCTGATGGTGAATTATTACTCTTATCTTATAACTGCCTTTTGGCTATATCTGCCGTTGTATTGGTTGGTGGAGCATATGTGTCGACCTCATGCGGGTGGTAGCTGGCGGGAGGATCTGAGGAGACTCTCAAGGCTGCGGCCGAAAGCCGCACAACGTGGGACCCCATTCCCTTGAGGTGAGCGGTAAACTCATGACACGCTCTGCGGCTAGTAGCCGTGCTGATCATGCAATTGGTGGTGATGCCATACACTTACATCACGTCTGCAGGAGCGGCGGTCTGGCAGGTGGTGGCGCTCACGGAGGGTTTACGGCCAGTGTGCCTATTTGCCTAAACCGTGTGATGTACATTCACTGTGGCTGGATTCGTTCGTATTCTGTATGGCGTTTACATGCATTGACATGCGCGACTTCGGTCGAAGTTTGTGCTTACGCACTAACAAGGGGCCAAGCCTCTTTTACTGGTTCGCCAGTTATTTTGCTGTGGTCTACGGTCCAGTTCCCGAATTAACGTTCCCTTCGGGGGGAGTGCATCAAAATGGTTGGCACTCACCGTGCACGGCGTGTGTGGGGCCGTGTACTTCCCCTACATTTTTTAAAAATAAATGTAGGAGAGCGAAGCCCTTGTATCGGGTATTTTGTATAGATATATTTTGAGCCTTTTCCGAGCGGGAAGGGATAATTAATAATGTAAACCTGATGCAAGTGGAATAGGGACGTTTTATGTTCTTAACCTTTTTCGAGCCCTGTCTTCGTGAACGGGGTTCACTTAGCTTATAAGGCACTACCAACAGCTTTCAATTGCTCTAGTGAATATTCATTCTTCCAAAAGACACCTAAAAGAACTAAGTTACTAAACAAACACAACGTAAATAAGGGTCCTAACTAAGACGATCACGCCAAATTATTACAAACGGCCTATTATTAAACCTTTAGAAAGATCATTTAGAAAGATCAAAACATAATTTATTAATCCTGGTCACATATATATAATTTTTAATGTAAAGGGGAACTAATTATATTCAATATCATACATATTTTCATATAGAGGGGGGGAGATCGTTACACAATGAAAGAAATATTATTTTAAATGACACATCATTTGAATCATTTTTTATTTAATAAATATAATACTTTATTATATAATATATTTCGTTAAACATATATTTATTACGTCTTTATTGAAGTAACAAAATGTATGAATATGAAACTACATACTATAATAAAAAGGCAAGTTATGGCAACGGCAAATAAACAAAATTACAAATGGCAGATCCCTTGCGCTTGCGGTTGTGTTCTTGTTTATTTGTGTTGCAAATTAAGTTTATATTTTGATCTTAACTTATTTCTTACATTACTAACGTTGAGTTGAACATCCCGTTCCTCCGTTTTAGTGTTTACAGTGAGAAAGAGACTCAAAAACAAGTGCTGTGCATTGTGCTAAAGAGACAGAGACTCAATTTTATCTTTCATCATGAAAGAACACGAAAGGAAATGTTACAAGTGTGGATGTTCTCCTAAGCCTGGGAGAACAAATAGCTTACGGTACGTATGCGCTAAATAGCTTTTTGGTTACTGATTAAAACAGTTTTAAAATGTTTAAATTTGAACCACTGAATTAATAAAGTAACAGAAATAAAAATTATTATGGGCCGCATCGGCTAATAAAACCTAAGATACATATTAAGCGATTTAAAAACGTGTGCAAATAAATCTGAAAATTAAAGAGAAATTATGCAGAACAGCATGAGGTGTATCACATAGAAATCATAACATAATAAAGTAGTTATAGATGTATTGGTACACATAGAAATAACATGTTGAATAATATTTATATATATATACAATACAATCACATTGTTTGAAAGGAACAATCTCTTGTATTGCACTCTTCTTCCAAGCATGTTTTTAGCACCTCAGTAGTATATTATTATCTAATTATATTTCTTCAGATGAGAATTATGGTAGAAGTACTGTTTTCCTCATGACTCTTGGTGGTCACCAGAATTTCAAAACAAGCTTCATTCTAAGCATTTAATGTTGTGCACTAAACATTTTAAGAAATCATCATTCATTGATAATTCTGGAAAGAGACTAGTCAAATCCGCAGTCCCTGATGAGGAATGTGATAAGGTTAGTTAGTCTTTCTTTTGTTACTATCTACATTTTTTTCTTTTGTGTGGCTTTTCTCATACTACAGTGAAAATATTTTCTAGTTAATAAACGGTGGTAACAGATTGAGTGGTGATTTATAAGGGTATGCGACGTAACCTACCATTACTTCTCAACCATAAAAAAAACAAAAGATATAAACTTTAAAAAAATATATAGGATGGTGGTGGTAATGGGTTAAAGCAACATTAATTGATAAAAACAAGTTGTATTTAATGTTTATAAATTTATAAGGCTGTTTGAAATTTAGAGATTGGTTGATCAATGCTGGGATACAGATATAAATAATGATTTGATAATCTCTAATTTTCAGATCACATTAAATAATAATAATAATAATATAGCTCCATTTATCTTGAGGGCTCCATAGCATATGACCTATCCATCTCCACTTCATTTGGTCTATCTTGGTGAGAATATCTGTCACACCTGTTCTTGTTCTTATGTGCGTGTTTCTTTGCTTATCTATTTTTCTGATTCTTACCGTGCTCCTTTTCATGGCTCTTTGACAATGTTCGAGCATATCTCTGTGCTGCTTAGAAAGTGCCCAAGTTTCGCAGCCATAAGTAAGTAGTGGTGGTAATGGGTTAAAGCAACATTCATTAATAAAAACAAGTTGTATTTAATGTTTATAAATTTATAAGGCTGTTTTTAAATTTAGAGATAGGTTGATCAATGCTGGGATACATGATATAAATAACATAACATAACATAAACACTCACGCCTATCACCCAGAGGGGTAGGCAGAGACTACAGACTTCCATTTGGCACGATCCTGACACACCTCTCTTGCCTCCTTCACATCCATACACCTACGCATACATGCTCGTCGGTTAAGGGTACTCCTAATTTGACCCGTTTTCAATAAATCGCCAATTTCGTCGATAAATTTTCGCCTAGGACGTCCCTTTCCGACTCTGCCATTCTCTCAATTCTGCACCATAAATTTTCTTTGTCACTGTTTCCTCATTCATTCTTTCCACATGACCAAACCACCGAAGCATTCCTTTCTTAATCCTGGTCACAACATCATCTTGCAACATTGACTTATCAGGGGGATAAGTCGCTCGCGTCCGTAGGCTTTGACCACCTGTTCCTAGGCCCACCCTACACGTGTCCCCCGGGTGGTGCTAAATGAGCGACATGCCGATACCACAAACTCGGCTCAACGCCATGGTAGCGGCGTTAAATATACCACCCCATTTCGCACCATGAGGAATCGAATTAAAGAAATGGCCCCGAGTTCCCGGCGCCCCTTTAATGGGGCAGGGGTGCGAGGAATCTCCGGGGAGGAAAACCGGCGACGAGGTTCGCCACCCGTCACGTTCTGTCTCCCGGAGAGGCGAAAAGGGATTGCAGAGGCCCGTCTGGCTACGTTGAATGTATGTGGGGCAATGAATGACAAAATGGATGAAGTATGCGATATGATGTATGATAGAGGAATAGATGTGTTATGCGTAAATGAGACGAAAAGGAAGTGGAAGGATGTCACTACACATGGCATGTATACCGCATACTGGTCTGGTGTAGACGAGATCGAGCGGGCATGCCAGGGAGTAGGTATCATCCTTTCAGAAAGAATGGGCCAATGTGTGAAAGAGTATGAATGTGTAAGCCCAAGACTGCTATGGATACGAATGAAAGTGGGCTTAAAGAAGTTGTTTGTGTTAGGGGTCTACGCCCTAGACATGTCTAAGCCCACTTATATCCGAGAGCAGTTTTGGGAAATGGTAAGGATGGTGTTAATGAAGTGTAAGGGAAATGAAAATATTATTATGCTAGGAGATTTTAATGGAAGGGTTGGGGTCAGGAGGCTTGGTTATGAAAGGATATTAGGAACGTTTGGTGATGAAAGTATAAATGAAAATGATGAAAGTCTCCTCACCGTATGTATGGAAAAGAATCTTTTTTGTGACGAACACTTGCTTTCGCCACAAGAGGATTCACATGTATACTTGGGAAAGAGGTGACGATAGAAGCATGATAGATTTCATAATTGTGGATGAAAGATTGAGGGGCGCAGTGGTAGATACGAGAGTTTACCGGGGTTCTAACGTAGAAACGAATGGTCTATTCAGGCGTTGGCGCCATCGATCGTCTGTGTCTACCCACTGCGTTACAGCGTATTAGAACAGAAAGGTTACAAGATGAAAGTGATAAAAACAAGTTCAAATGTAGACTGAAAGAAAATATAAGTGGTTTGGATGAATTATGTATGAAGGAGTTAGACTTGGAGATATGGCAAAATGTAAAGAAAGGTTTAGTGGATGCAGCTACCGAAGTATGTGGTGTTAGTAAGAGAAAGAATGAAAGGAAAAATAATACGTTACGGTGGGATGATGAGATACGTATGGAAGTTGAAGCAAAGAAGAGAGCATGGCTAGATTTACTAGCAACAAAGGCTGCTAATTCTAGTGGTACGAATGGTGATATTGAAAGAAAAAAGGCAGTATTTAGACATCTTAATAAGAGAGTAAAAGAAGTAGTTAAAAGAAAAAAGCAAGAAAGAACGGATAAAAATGATAGAAGAATATCGGATAACTTCCAGGCAAATATTAAAATGTTCTGGAAACTTGTAAGAACCGCCAGGGGACATTCAAAACAGCCTATGATGAATGCTATAAGAGACGAGAATGGCTATATTCTGAATGATGAAGTTTTGAGTTTAAAGAGATGGAAGGAATATTTTGAAAGCATGTTTATGAGTCAGGAGACAACGTGTGTACTAAGTGAAGTAGAAACACCGAAAGAAGAGGAAAGAGGTAGCGAGATAAGTATAGATGAAATAATGAAAGCAATGAAAAGCATGAAAGCAGGTGAGGCTGCCGGATATGATAGAGTTTCACTCGAAATGCTAAGGGCTGGAGAGGAAGTGGTGGCAGGCCTGCTGCACACCTTATTTAATTTATGCTGGGAACTGAAGCGAGTACCGGTAGACTGGTGCAAAGCCGTGATAGTCCCAGTATATAAAGGAAGAGGGTCGTAGCAGGATTGTAAAAACTACCGTGGCATCAGCCTTCTTAGCATTGTGGGAAAACTGTATGCTAAGGTACTGATTGAAAGGGTCATTAAATGAAACTGATGGAAAAATTTCGGATGTGCAAGCGGGATTTAGAAAGAGAATGGGATGTACATATCAAGTCTTTTCCATGCGCATGATCGCGGAGAAGTTTCTGGCCAAAAACGGTTTTTGTGCGTTCATGGACTTGAAAAAGGCCTATGACAAAGTGGATAGGGATTTGCTATGGCAAACACTGAACTAATTTGGGTTGAGCGCTGGCTTGATACAGGCATTGGAGTCTCTTTATAGGGACTCTTGTGCTTGTGTTAGGATCTACGGGGTCTACTCGGACTGGTTTGACATCCATAAAGGTGTCAGACAGGGCTGTGTGGCTTCCCCGTGGCTGTTCAACCTATTTATGGACAGTTGTTTGCAAAATTTGAAAGTTGAAGAATGCGGATTAAAAATGGGTGAGTTAACCGTCAAATGCCTTTCGTACGCCGATGATCAAGTTATTCTTGCGTCGTCGTCGTTGCGTTTGTATATTTGGGCTGCGTATTTAGCAGGGATAGGAGATATGACAAGGATATAGAACGACGAGTGAATGCGGGAAATAGAGTAAATGGGCCCTTGCACTCTATTGTGAAGAGTCAAAATGTGTCGAAAAAGGCACGTATGGCAATTCACAACGCTGTGTTGGTCCCTACTTTAACGTATGGTAGTGAAAGTTGGGTGTGGCAGAAGAAGCACGAGAGTAGAATAAACGCAGTAGAAATGCGGTCGTTAAGGAGTATGTTAGGGCTGAATCTGAATGACAGGTTGAGAAATTGTGTAATAAGAGAAGAGTGTGGATATAAATAATGATTTGATAATCTCTAATTTTCAGATCACATTAGCTGACCTTAATTTGGAACAAAGGAATGTCATTCAACATATTGCGGGTCCATCAACTACTAAACAACCACTGTCTGAAAATATTCAGAAGACTATAACTGTTCCAAATATATTTGAGCCGGTTGCGGGTCCGTCAAAATGTATACAACCCCTGTGTGAGAATGTGCATTATAAGACCATTCCTGACAAAACTAGTGCTATTCCTCAAGTAACTGAGAATAGCAACCCTGTTGCTGCTGCAAATCCATCCACGAAAAACAAAAAGTATAAACATATGTTGATAAAACTGAAATATCATCTGAGAAAAATTAACAGGCTTCAAAAACTGTAAAGCATCTAAAGAATGAAGCATTTCTCAAAGTATTGAGCAAAAATGATTCAGTAAATGAAATATTAAAATGTAAAATATCCCTCTCTTTTGCATTATTTTTGCAAGGAGAATTGCAAAACTATAAAAAAATCGAAAGGTCGAAGATGGAACATGGACTCCAAAATAATAGCACTTAGACTGTATAAAAGGTTACCTAGGTGTTACAAATTATTAAGAAGGATGATTTGCCTTCCAACACCTAGTTCATTAAAAGCGTTATTAAGCAAGTTTCACATGAAAGTTGGTATAAATGACCAAATTTTTAATGTTTTGAAAAAAAAAAACAATAAAGCAACAGACTCCCTCAGACAATGAGTATATCCTTATGTTTGATGAGATGTCAATAAAAAAGAATTTGTTTTACAACAAAGAGGAGGACATAATTGAGGGTTATCAAGACCATGCATTGCAGGGCAGGTCACCACAAATGGCAACACATGCCCTCGTGTTCATGATTGGCGGAATCCGTAAAAAGCTGAAACAACCAATTGCTTATTATTTTTCTAGCGGATCTGTGACTGCAGATAGGCTGTCAGTTCTTATAAAGGAGGTGAGCATTATCTTTTATTTGTTATTATGTCAATATATGCAGTAGTACTTTTTTACCGTATTAATTTACCCTTTTATCATTCTAGGTCCTGCAACATTGTTTTGATGCTGGAACTAACATTTCAGCTACAGTGTGTGATATGGATGGTGTGAATAAGAGAGCTTTAAGTATCTTGGGAGCATCTGTAGAACAGCCATATATTCTGCTAAGTAATCGAGAAGTGGTTACCATTTTTGATACTCCGCATTTGCTCAAATGCTTTAGAAATATGTTTTTTAAAACATGACATTAAATGTCCAACAAATATAACATCAAATGATCAAATTGGATTTGGTAAGATATTTTGTTTTATTACAATCATACTATTATACATATTTCCAATTTACTGGATATTTACACAAATGTTTTTTACAGGTGTTGCTAAATGGAGCCATATAAAGGAGTTTTATGAAACAGATAACACCAATCCCAATTTTGTGTTTGCACCATGCTTAAAACAAGAACATTTAAATCCAAATACGAAGCAGAAGACGAAGGTGAAGCTAGCTGCACAAGTGTTAAGCCACTCAGTTGCTGCAGGAATTTATGCAATTATTTCACAAGGTAAATTAAATTTATAATTTAAAGTATAATATTTAAACATATGTCCACACATTAAAATAATTATTAACTTAAAAAGGAACTAGGCTCTCCCAAGTACAAATTATTGTTTATTGTGTGATATGTGACATTTTTTTGAGTTGTCTTGTAATGTACTTTAAATCATATTTCTTTAATCCTAATATTAAGATCTTAAATTATGTATTGTTTACAGGGGAACTCTCTTCAGAGGCCGTCACTACTGCTTGTTCGGGTATTGGACGTATGTTGAACAATAATTAAAATTTTATATAAAAACAGTTTAATAAAGATGTTAAAAGTATAAGATTAATATATGTTAAAAATGTTAAATGTTAATGTTATGTTAATGAGCTCGCGTCCGTCGCGGTTACGGTGATTACGTGAACTAACACAATTTTTATACTTGTCGAACTATATCGATTGCTTCACGTAAAATGTTAACGCCAGCGGAAATGTACGGTTGGACCGTACATGCTGCCAGGCCAAAATGTAATAAGATGATTATAATGTTAGTTTGATGTGTTTGGTAATCTTATCTTAGTAACAAGGTGATAAACAATTTGTAACTTAACCTAATGAATGTTTGTTATTTTGTTAAATGAAAATGATGACAGTATCTAATTTATGATATAACAATTAATTTTATAATTAAACATTAAAACGTCTATGCGGTATGGGAGAACACGCTTTGTTTTGTTTTTCAATTTCACACGACACATCAATATGACACATATGTTGACGGTCAAGATCACAATTTCGCGCACTAGCACTTACTGTGAAAACACTAGGCTTACGGTTAGTCTTTCTTTTATTTCCCGCACTCACTGCACTGACACTACTCGCCGACTGCAGCTCCAAGTCCGGGGAGATGAGTGCACGCCGCCGTCGTCGCCGCCATCGCCATCGCCACACGAACACCGCCGCTACGACTGCTGCCACTCCGATTAACACGTAGTTGATTGCGTAGTGATGGATGTCGTGCGACGATAATGTGGTTAACTGCACGTTATTCTGTTTTAGGTCTTGTATTTGACGGTCTAAGTTATGTAAGGAGCTGTTCAAATCTGATATGTTGGTGTCATTTTCGTTTAGAGGTTCTGAAGTTATGCTTATTTTGATGATGTTATTCAATGGGTCAATTTTTGGAAGAAATAAGTCATTTTTCATCTCAATTTGATGAGTGTGAATTTGATGGGAGAACAACGTAAAATCTTGGCCTTTTAACAAACATCCCTTATCGAGAGATATAACTCCCGCTTTAGTAAGCCGTTCCGCAACTACACGATCAAGGCAAATAATTTTAACATCATAGGTGTTGCAGCAGTGGTATAGGTATTGTGAAGGGTTATTCAGCGGTAGCCATTCATTTGTACACGAAGTCTTATACATTTTGCTGTGGTGATATTTCTACAGGTAATAATGATAATTTATTGATCGGTCTTTTAAGGTTACCGTTTTTTGTTTTCAATGTTACAACTCTTACATGTCCATCGCTCCCGGGGTGAAGTTCCACTACGCGCCCCATTGCCCATTTACCTGGTGGTAAGTTGTCGTCTTGTATGATGACCATCTCACCGATTTTCATATTTGGTTGCGGTCGAAGCCACTTACTCCTACTAGATAATTGAGTAAGGTATTCAGCTTTCCATCTTTTCCACACTCCTTGAAATATTTGTTTTGTTAGTTGCCATCTTGTCCTGGCATCTTCGGGCTTTTCTATTATGGTGGAACCCACATTTGCAGTTAAAAAGTGTGCAGGTGTCAAGAACTCCAAATCTTCCACGTTTTCAGTTAACGGACACAAGGGTCTTGAGTTTAAGCATGCTTCTATCTGGCTCAATATTGTCGAGTATTCTTCGTATGTTAGCTTTTGATCACCAACCACACGCTTTAGGTGATGTTTTAAACTACGCACAGCTCTCTCCCATAAGACTCCAGCGCTTGGCCACGAGGGAGCATTGAAATGCCATTCGATGTTCAACTCTGCAACCTCCACCAAGAAGTTGTTGTTAAATATTTGCTGAAGTTGTTGATATTCTTCCTGCAGGATTCTATTAGCACCCACAAAGTTTGAGCCATTATCACTGTAGATATGACATGGAGCTCCTCTTCTCGATGCCATGCGACGAAGCGCTGCTAAAAATGCTGACGTGCTCAAATCTGACACTAATTCTAAATGTATGGCTTTGGTAACCATACACACAAAAACTGCTACATATTCCTTGGTATTTTTAATTCCTCGCCCTTTACTTGACTTTACTTCCATGAACCCAGTATAATCAACGCCTGTGTGATAAAAAGGTGGTGCTGGATTAACTCTTGAAACTGGTAAATCAGCAATTAATTGATGTTGTGTAGAGGGACTATTTTTTCTGCATTTGACACAGTGTCTTAAACGCAATTTAATGGCTCTCTTGCCCCCTACAATCCAATATTTTTGACGTAACCATCCCAAAGTAAGTCGAGGCCCACCGTGAAATGTCATGTTATGGGCATGATCTATTAGAAGATCCGTCAATCCACCACCACCTTACAAGTACACTTAATTAAGTTGCATGTGTTCTGCTTGTTACTTAGGAATACACTAGCGTTATATTTATATATATACATGGTGCTCGTTTTACCCTGGTCACACTTTTACGTCTTTAGCTCTAGGTATTCGTATGGGTCTTCCAGTCTAGCTGATGCTGGAACACCTTGCCAAATGACAGGATGCGTCAACTACCCTATTGATGTTCGTTGACGCTGATATAATCGCGTGAAGTATGAGAGATGTTGTATAAAAGGATAATGCGAATACATAACAATTTAGAGCGGATTTTATTAATTAAGAGTAATAAAATCCTTATGTAGCGCGCGGGGTACTGTAACGTTGCACGTACATGTATGCATAATTATAATTAAACGGTTTATTAAAATTAAATAAACATTTAATAAACTAAATAAAAATAAATTAAAAGTTATTAACAAAAATAATTCTATAATTAACTTAGGTATCCTATTAATAAAACAAATCAGTAAACTAAAAGAACGAATTAAATAATAAATCAAATATTAAAATATTGTATTTCGAACAAACACTCTGACGCTTCGTTACTCTATGCGCCTTGCAACTCTCGCGTCAGAGTTTTACCCGGCCGGTATTATTCCACGGCGTCGCGCTCCCGACCATTCTCCGCCCGAGCGCCCTGGGAGGCGCACACTACCACTGCAGCCGCGTTCACAAGCTCTGCTTTGTGTCCTCGTACGCGCTTGCAAATTTTAATCCCATTTTGGAAAAAGTTTAAAATAATATAATAATTCCGGCACTGTGGCCGTATAGTTTTTTCGTTAATTCTCGTCACCGAGACCTCCGTATCGTCTTGCACCCCGTAAGGGTAAGTGTTGAAACGTTACCTAGTTTTAAGTAGTGAAAGTGTTTTATAGGTAGTGTAATTTGATCATGCCAGGCTGTTTGCTTTTAGCTATTTAATTGCCACGTTATTAGTGTTATTTGCATGTAAGTAATGTATGTAGCCGCTGTGCGCGTTGGCAAAAGTACCGTTACAAAATGGCGTCTCATACATTTCGCACCGCGATCAAATATCGCAAGTCACCATCATGTTTCAACCAATGCACAGCCTAAATTAGTTATCCTGGTACATTTAAACAGTATTTTACACTTGCCGTAATTTTAATTCATGTGTATTTTAATTGCGCCTCACCGCTATGACGCTTGCCTTC